GGGTTAGCAGCTCAAGTTCTACCCCAGGCTTCCCAATAGACTTTGCTAGCCTGAGTTAAAAGACTTTCTTTTTCAGTGAAGACATGACCTCAGGTCTCTTTACACCATTCTGTCAGTGTAAAGTGACCTTAAAATGGACATAAATTACATTTACACTTGTTTTACGGACCCTATACAATGCCAGAGCAGTGTAAACATACCTTTGGCATAAAGCTAATGTTGTTAAATTCTTCCCCGCTTATAAACACAACTATGAAGTACTTGGTGGGTACAAAAGTTAAACTTGAACAACATTTTAAGATTCATCATTTAGGGCTATCAGTAAATACTAGCCTTCATTAAGGGCCCAATCCTGAAATCTTTGCTCCTGTGACTAACTCTTGCTCAGATAAGTAGTCATTTTGAAGGCAATGGGACTGCTCATGTAATATTTATATGCAATGTAGTTGTAGCCATGTCAGTCCCAGGATATTAGAGAGACAAGGTGGGTGAGGTAATAACGTTTACTGGACCAACTCCTGTTGGTTTGTAAGCTTGTTTCTCTCACCAACAGACGCTGGTCCAGTAAAAGATATTACCTCACACACCTTGTCTCTCATGTAATATTGGGTTATGTGATCAAAGGCTGCAGGATTGGGGTATAACTTTGAACTTAAATCTAAGCTACTTGCTAACTTTAGCTACTCATCATCCTCCCCGGAAAAAAAATTACACAATTTTTGTGAAAAGCTGGCCCATTTCAAACAGTTGACAAGAAGGTGTGAGTAACGGTAGGGGAAAAATAAGCAAGGGGAAATAGTTTTACTTTTTGTAATGATCCATCCACTCCCAGTCTTTATTCAACCCTAATTTAATGGTGTCCATTTTGCAAATTAATTCCGATTCTGCAGTTTCTCGTTGGAGTCTGTTTTTTGAAGTTTTTTTGTTGGAGAATTGTGACTTTTAGGTCTGAAATTGAGTGACCAGGGAGGTAGAAGTGTTCTCCGACTGTTTCCCCATGCTAATTTTTCCCCTACTGTTACTCACACCTTCTTGTCAACAATTTGAAATGGGCCATCCTGATTATCATTACAAAAGTTTTTTTTTCTCCTGCTGATAATAGCCCACCTTAATTGATTAGTCTCATTACAGTGTGTATGGCAACAACCATTTTTTCATGTTCTCTGTGTATATATATCTTCCTACTGTATTTTCCACTGCATGCATCCGATGAAGTGGGGTTTAGCTCACGAAAGCTTATGCTCATATAAATTTGTTAGTCTCTAAGGTGCCACAAGGACTCCCACTTCTATACTAAAAAAAGAGAAGTTCTGGGGTAGCGCAGAGTTCTTGCTCCCTTTTGCCACTTAATCCTTTTCTGATGCAATTGGTCGCTGTGCAATACACACATAACAGCCACACGTGTTCAGAATATTATCTTGCAAGTGGAATTAGTTGAATAATGGAAAGCAGACTAATCAAATAATAGCTTTTGAAATATTTTAAAGTAATGAATATTATTTGACCAGCTGTACTTCCATCTCTGCTGGGAGCTGGGATTAGAGTGACTTCCCATGAAATATAGCTGACCCGCATACAAGGGTTTCAAGCTACCCGTGTGAGGTCCAAGAGTTCTGTTCTCCACCCTTCACCTGCCTGAAATTCTGTTCTGCTGCTATCAGAAACCTTTGAGGTTCTATTGACAGATTTGCCTGACCTCATCAGTATGTTTCTATACACTTCTTTGTTATAGTTCAAGACAATGGGTTTTTTTTTTTTTTAGTTAGCATAGAATTGTGTACAATTAACTGTTCCTTTCAACAAGATAAATTATACTGATTAACCAGTTCTTTCCATGCAAGGATTAATCGCTATTACTAATACCTAATTCTCCTTGCTGTTTAATGTATTAGACTGAATACTCAGTTACAGTACACAAATAGAGAATGCATTCATGTTAATTTTCCTATTCATTTTTATTAACGCCATCTAACAAATTTTAAATTCCAAGGAAACTGTTTTTTAACTCAGTCATATTGAAGGTGAATCAAAGGCCAATTAAAATTGAAGTCCAGATTTTATTTTTTTTAGAACACTATTACATTAGACAGATTGCATGGTATTTCAATACCAAGGAAGTACCAGAGTTTGGCAGATTGATAAATAGCATTCTAGTAACAACTTGTAGATTGCATTCACAAAATATTCCAATTTTGTTAGATTTTCCTGCTGTGGGTCAGTGCTACCTACTGGAAGTGGCATTTTATATCCAAACATTTCTCTAGAAACTATTGCGGCCTGCTGCTTTCCTCTCATTTTTCAGTTGAGAAAATTCCAGTGTGTGTTAATTCTTTCTGAACTGCAATTCCAAGTATCATATATACTTGATCATAAGCCAGTTCGTTTATAAACTGACCCCCCCCAAGATGGATAAGTAAAAATGGAAAATTTTTATGACCCATTCATAAGCCGACCCTATAATTCAGGGGTCAGCAAACTTTGGCTCCTGGGCCCTCAGGATAAGCCGTTGGTGGGCCTAGATGGTTTGTTTACCTTGAGCGTCCACAGGCACGAAGGTAAACCTAAGTCAACAAAGTGTCCCAGGGTGCCAGCCGGACCAGGACAGCAACTGGTGGAGAAATTTTTTGGGGGGAGAAGCTGGGGGTCAGGGGAGTAACCCCTGTGACCACCCCCCACATGAGCCCACCCCTAGCCCAGGACCCCCACACTCTCCCCATCCCATCCCTTCCCACCTTAGCTGGGGAGGGCCAGGGGAGGATGTCTCTGGGCTGTCCAGAGCTGCTCCGGCAGGCTGGGCAGTGCGGCCTCAGCCTGCTCCAGAGGGCCAGACCGGGCGGTGCGGCTACAGCATGTTCCAGCGGGCTGGGCCGGGTGGCACGGCCACAGCCTGCTCTGGAGGGCGGGGCCGAGTGGTGCGGCTGCAGCCTGCCAGCCCTGGAGCTGCAGCTGTTTCGGAGGCTGGGGGGAGAGCAGCGCAGCCAGAAGCGGAGAGACTCTGGCCCCACCTCTTCCCTTTTGGCTCCGCTGGCTGTGCTGCCTCTCCTTGCCCCCTCTGTTGCGGAGAGGGGCTGTGTCCCACCTCTCCCCTCTCTATACCTGTTCATAAGCTGACCCCCTTCTCTGGTGCTTCCCTTTTTTACTAAAAAAAAAAATCGGCTTATGAACGAGTATACAGTAATTGCAGTACCACTTTAAAATGTATCTGATGGCCCAATATTTTGGGTGCTTTGCTACTTTAATATTGTATTACGTAATGCAGGGAAATAATATGCCATGGGAAACTACCTTCCCCAAGCCAAACGTTTCATCTAAGGAAAACCACTATGACTTCATGTCATTTTTTCCATCTCTGACAAAGCAGTGGTTTAGGTTTAGAGCCTGCTTCCTTTGTGAGCTGGAGAACAGTATGTTTGGTTTTGTGTGGTCTTGTGTAAAACAAATCACCATAAAACTAACAAAATCCCTGAATGTTAGTCCCATGTCTTTACTGTGCCTGTTGTTTCCCTTGTTGTGAATTTTTGCAGTAGGCTGAGTGTGAAACAGAGATTACGCCATACACAGATGGTCTTGATATTGCTCAAAACAGAGGTCCTGAAGCAAATTATGCAAAGATATCCACTTTCCTCTGTTTAAATACTTGGCTATCCTAATATTTGCCATAAGGTCTATATTTCCATATGGTGAAGTGTCCACCCCTTCATTGCATTATGCAAGTTCATGTAAAAAAACTCAGTGACAAAATGCACTTAATCTTCTAATTTCTGAAATATGTTGATCAGCTGTTGTTTTTTTCTAAGAGAGCTATGATGTAACAATGTATATGAGAGAGCTTTACAGTACCTTTGATAGCAAATAAGGATTTTTATTCGATCTACCACTGCACTGAGACTACTGAAGAATGAGAGAGAGAGATGAATTCATAAAGGGTGAAATCCACTCCTGTGCAGAGCACTAGCACAAGTCTTTTCACCACTTGTGTCCCACATAAGTCTTCAAAATATAGGTCTTGTCTGTACAGAGATAAATTTCACCCGAATTGATGTACATCTTAAACTGAATTATGTTATTTGCAAAAGGCCTATAAACCTTGATAATCATTACAGGAAAAGTATAGTAAGAGCATCTAGTTGCAACATATGATTACAAAGAACTAAAAAAAAGTTCAGATGTTAAAAGTAATTTTAAAGGCTATATCTGAGCTTCTTTATGGTTCGATTCTGCTGACCTTATTCCTGCCTGCTTAGCATCTTATGCTGGGAGATGACCTGTTGATTTTAATGGCACTACAGATGGGGTAAAGTACTGTACAGTATGAATAAGGATATTACAATCTGGCCCTTATTAATCAGTGACCAACCTGGTGACTTGTTTGTGCATTTCAATAGATGTGCTTGTGTGGCTATTCAGCCTGAAATCAGGAACTCCTGAGTCCTTATCCCTGCTTTGCCATGGTCTTGCTGTGAGACCTTGGGCAAGTTACTTAACTTCTGCGACTCCATTATTCTATCTGTAAGCCTGGGATAGTATTACTTTTTTTGTGTCATAATGGTGTTGCAGGTATTAATTGTTAATATTTGTGCAACACTTCGAAAATCTGTAACTATATATACGTGCTAAGTATTAGTGACGTTTACAAGATCAGGGCCTTACAAAGAGTACAACAGATTTTATATGGAAGCTCATTAAATTAATCCGAAAAACACAGAAAAGTAGAATTTTGTGCAGTGAATTTCATGGTTGCCATGGCTGCTTCTTTGGTATTTGGTATCTGGAATTCAGGCTGAGTTCCTAAATCATGATTGGTCACAAGTTATGTGGGATGGCTTCTGCTCTTGACTATATGAGTCTAATTCTCGTAACAGATTTCTGGTGCAGCTACTAGCTGAAGCCAAATTTAAAATTTGCTTTCCATTAGTATTTGAGTGTGAGCTTAAAATCTGTGTTAATGAAATTCAGCTGCATGAATATTCCTGGAAACCAAACACAAAAGGGTCATGAAGATGGTTGGAAAAAATTCATATTAAAATTCAAACAAACATTCACAGGAAATGGTTTTACACTATTCATGTGGGTCTAGCACAGAATTTAGAAGTAAAGACTATTCTGTGTTTGTTTTACTGCTGTCTCCCATCATCTGTTTTGGGGGCTTCATTCATTTACAATAGTGCTAATCAGGAGTAATTCCACTGAAGTCAATTCAGACACACCAGAATAAAATCACTGTGATGTCAAAATCAGGCCCTTTTGCTTTCAACCACTTCTGATTCTGATTTAAAAGCACAGTCTTGCAAGTTGCTGAGTACCCTCAACTTCTTTAGAAGTTTCTGGGAGTCTGCGTGGTCAGCACCATTTTGCAGGATTAAATCCTAAAAATGTGTACATGGTATTCATCAATAAACTGGAGGAATGAATTCTGCAGATTTAGCATTTATTGTTTGTTATTTTAGGCCACTTTACACTTGATCTGATCTTAGAGGCCAATGTTCTGGGGTTTGGTTTTAGAGTAAACAAGACTGTATCCTTCTTTGACCAGGACAGCACATCTTAAAAGTATGTGTGACAGAGCTCGGGTTTATAATATAGTTGTTTCGACAGTTCATTTGTGATCGTCTGTAGTAACGGGGCACATTGTTGTTCTCTGTCAGGATTTATGGCCATGCCTTCCTCATTTCTGCAATTCTTTATTGCTGCAATGTCCTGGGAAAGTTTTTATCTGAGTATGGTAGGTGATAACAAAGTCTTTCACATCAGCATGACCAATCAGAATGTTAAAGTACAATTAGTGAGGCTTGTTGTGTTTTCCTCAACTGTTTAGGCTCTATTTATCAAGAAACTTCAAAGTGAAGGACATTCTCAAACGCTCTTAAAAATTTCCATGCTTTACCTTGAATATAAAAGAGAGAACAAAGGAAGTGGAACATACAAGAAAGAAAAAAATGGATAGAAAATTACAACAAATTGAAACACAGTTTGGAGACACTTGGCCTTCTGCTGACCAAGATCAACAACGGAGAGTGTACCATGCCACTCAGCAACATGCAGTCAGAAGTTGACACTTGATGTGAATGATTTTACCAATTACAGCTGTATGTATAATCTTCCACTCTTGATCAAGGTCACTGAGAAGCTCTGTCTGCAGCAACACCTGACTTCTGCCAATAGCTTAGATCGCCTCACAGTTGGATTTAAAACCAAAATATGCCACCATGTGGAAAGTGGTTGTGATGGTATAGCATCTCTTCTTTAGCTGTAGCCAACAGATGACTCCTTGTCCGTAGTCCTTGTTCAGTAGGTGCACATCACCTCTCAAGATCTGACACTAACACCTAGTGGCCGGACTGGGAATTGTGCGCTTGGTATACAATGTATGCCAATAAAGGGCCTTTCTGGGGGAAATGCTGTGGTGAGGAAACTCTAGTATCATAATCCTTAATCTGACTGGCTCTATGTCATTAATATCTTTTTTATTATATCAGATATCTATCTAGACGTATAGGCTATGTATCACCATGGAATCTGAGAAACTTAAAATATTAACTACCTGGCTTCCTCAGATAGCTTGGACCATTTCTGGGGAAAATCATAACCAAGACTTGGAACCTGACTTTGTACTCAGTATCTGAGCCACTGTAACAAGCAAAGCACTGGAATGAGGTGCTTTAGGAAGCATGCACTTCTGAGCTGGTAGATCACTGCATCCTGAACCAACTTCTGAGGGGTGTTGGCTTCATTCCTGTGAATGTAAAATTGCTGTAATCAAAACTAGAGATTATAAATGTCCTGTCATATATGGATCACCATGGCCAAGTCTGAGTCTATAGGCTAGAGCATAGTTTTCTGACTAGATGTAGATGGCAAAAGGTCTTTATAGGAATCATTGGGATACCCAGTAGTAGTTGAGTCCAGAAAGACCCTAAACCTATAGATAATCTAATCCAACAGTTCTCAGACTATGGGTCGGGACTCCAAAGTGGGTCGGGACCCCATTTTAATGGGGTCGCCAGAGCTGGCTTAGACTTCCTTGGGCCCAAAGATGAAGCCCGAGCCACACCACCTGGGGTTGAAGCTGAAGCCTGAGGGCTTCAGGGCTCACGTTACAGGCCCCCTGCCTGGGACTGAAGCCCTTGGGCTTCAACTTTAGCCCCCCATCTCAGGGTGGAGGGGCTCAGGCTTTGCCCCCACCCACTGGGGCGACAGGCCTCAGGTGGGCTCAGGCTTCAGTCCTCCCTCCTGGGGTCATGAAGTAACTTTTGTTGTCAGAAGGGGGTCACAGTGCAATGAAGTTGGAGAACCCCTGATCTAATCTTTAACCCTCTGTTCCTTACCTCTTCCTGCAGCTGGTCAACATTCAGGAAGGTGATTTTATGCAAAAATTCAAAGTTGTCTGTATCTCAGAGGGTTTGAACTTAGGGCTGGCCAGAAAACTATGTTTCCGTTTTGCAAAACATGTTGAAGTTTCAACATTTGCTTTTGTTCCAATGTGAAATGAAGCCAAGACCTTTGGAATTTTTTTGCAAAAAATCTCGAGAGAGAGAAACACAGCTCAGAATAGCCAATAGCCCAGTGGTTATGGCATTTACCTGCACTGTGTGAGAGACAGGTTCAAGACTGATATAGAGCAGGGACTGGAACCAGAGTCACATTGGAGTCAGTCTTTCTTTTCTCACTTTAGCTCTTCTCTTGCTACTGTTCCATTTATATAAATAATTAAATGTTTAGCATATGAAACAGGGACTAATTCTGTAGGCTGGTGGTTGCCTGGGAAGTGGGAGACCAAGGTTCAACACTCTATTTCAGAATAAAGGCTTGAACTTGGGTGTCTCATGTCTCAATTGAGTGCTCTACCCATGTGGCTATGATGAATTGGGTTCATTCTCTAGTTTTGACCTGAAATGGCTTTCTGAACCTGAGAAACCTTACTGACAAAAATGTAATTGATAAGAGTTTTGCAAAATCGTTCGGTTTCAATACATTAGCATTTTCCAGTTGAAAAAAATGTTCCATCGAAAAATTCGTAACCAGCTCTATTTGAATTGGACCTTATCACTGGGTGGGCTGGCCCTTTAAGGGAGTTGGATTTAGCCACACCCTGGTGATGGATTTGAAGCCAGGGATCATGTTGATAATCTTAGACAAAGTCACCTTTGGGGCTAAAAATAGCAGTGTAGATGTTCGGACTTGGGCTGGAGCCTGGATTCTGACGCAGGGGTGATGGAAGCTCCCTAAAAGTGGGGGGGCCACCAACGACCGAACCATAGCCCCAGCCACTGTGCCTCCCCTGAGGCCCCTTCACCCAATGCCCTGCCTTTGCTGCACCTCTTCTTCCTGAGGCCCCACCCTCACACCACCTCTTCCCCCCAAGATCCCTTGCCCTGCTTGCACCTCTCTACCCCCTGCTCCCGTCGCTTGCCCTTAGGGCTAGTAAAAAAAAGTTATGGGTCATAGCCCTCTGGTTTTTCCTGTTCCATAGCCCTTGCTCTGAGACCACCCCCCTCGTGGTGGTCTCAGCACCTGGGTTCCAGCCTGAGCCCACACATCTACACTGCAGTTGTATAGTACCTCAGTCTGAGCTCTACTGCCTAAATCAGCTGACCTGGGCCAGAGTGTAGATGTACCCAGAGAAAGCTGTAGGGAGCAGGTAGGTTCCTGCAGGAGACCTGGGGTCAGGGGGTAGGAGCTGGAAAGGCTTGGAACTACCTGCAATGAGGAGCAGAAGCCTTAAGGGGAAGACACTTGAGAAAATGCCAGGCAGCAAAACCCAGGTTTTGGTAAATAACTGTAGAGCCCAGAAAGTCAGCTGAAGAAAATGTAAATTGGGTTAGATTTGTTTTAAGTGGACATGTGAATTGTGATGTTTTAGTAAACTAGATGCCAAACAGGGGTATTACTTGATTTACAAATATCTGGCTACCATTTTGAAAACCTCGAGAAAGGGAAACTGAGACAGTGTCAGGGCTCAATGCCAGATCAGCTATGACCTGTTACAGACCTTTTTTTAGTATTTCGTGAAACTTTTCCTGGATATTTTTTAACCAGAATTTTTACTTGGGGGGCGGGGAAGGGAGGGGTTGCTTAAAACATGTTTTTCAGTAAGTAAAACATTCCAATTCCAATTTTTTATGATGATGGAAAAGTCGCTATATCACTGACAATCTTTCACAAAAATATTTTGTAAAAAGGCTTGCGGGAAGGGCAGCCCGCACGTCCCTTGGCCCTCACTGCTTCCCGCAGCCCCCATTGGCCTGGAGCGGCAAACCGCGGCCAGAGGGAGCCGCGATCAGCCAAACCTGCGGACGCGGCAGGTAAACAAACCGGTCCAGCGCGCCAGGGGCTTTCCCTGAACAAGCGGCGGACCGGCTTTGAGAACCACTGGTATAGGTGCAACTTACACCAGCAAAAAAGTGCTTTTGTCAATACAGCTTATACCAAGTCACAGAATGAAATGAGCTATAGCAGCAAAAATACTTCTATGATGGTATATCTACAATAGGGCTTTTGCCAGTATAGCAGTGTTGCAAACAATCACACTCCTAACCAGCGTTACCTATTATTAGCATTATAATGTAATATATCAATTTTATATTAAAATTCATATAGTAATATAAAAGTCAAAACAAAGTAAATGTGAAATGATAAAGTCAAAGGTAAAATGTTTTGCTTATCAAAATGAAAGGTTTTGACATTATGGTAACAGAAAGAGAAAGTCAAAACAGTTCATGTTCACTTTTTCCTGTTGAAACTTTGTCAAAATCAACACATTCTCATGAAACATTTTGATTTTGAGTATTTAAATGGAAAACTGTCCTATCAAAAAAAAATTTTGACCAGTTCTATTTTTGGCCTAGCTATTTGGTGATTCTTTTTTTCTGTCTGTTCTATTGTTCTGTTGATTGCCACATCCCCTAAGTTTAAGAACAGTTTCACCCCACATCTCCAGTCTGTCTGGATGTAATTTCTTTCTAAAGTAGTTTACCTCTCTTGGTTATTACGCTATAATTTAGGAAAGAGGAACAGAGGTTCGGTACCTAGACACAGTTAAAGACAATCCTTACACTTTACAAAGACAAGACCAAAGGCAGACAAAGGATGGGTGGAAGGAAGTGTTGGGATTTCTGGGTTTCACATGGAGGACTGAGGCACAGAGACCCAGTGTATATCCACACAGTGAGCAAGTCTCAGAGCCTGGGTTCCAAGACTTCACTCATGCTACCATGTTAAAAACAGTTGTGTAGATGGCTTCAGAGCTCAAGCTACAACATCTACAGAGCTATATTTAGCATAGTGGCATGACCCCCACAAGCTCAAGTCTGTCACCCCAGGCTTTGAGACTCACTGCTGCTTGCTGTGTAGACATACCCTAAGGGTGACCTAGGAATAGTCAGATAGAGCCAGGAACTGAACCCTATGGCCCAGATCAGTGTCTTTACCCCCAAAATTATGCCTCCTTTCTATAATTAGCATCTTATGCCGAGAAAGTGGGTCAAACAGTGTGCTATTTATTTCAGGACTAGCAAACCTGATCTTCATGCTGGTTTAAATTTCAAAGGTAGACATCTGTGGCATCCCTGTATTGAAATACATGTACATTGAAATGCACTATGTAAACTAAAATCTACTTTCCTAGTCATAAACTATCCATTTACCATTTGGGATCTTTCATTTAGGTATTTAGGTAGCCACATCACCTCATACTTGCTTTTGCATAAATATATGGGGTACCAATTTGACAAAAGTAATTGGTGAAATATGGGCCTTTAGTTGCAATGTAAATAAGTTTACTCCTCTAATTTAGAAAGCTACCATTGTAGTGAAGCAGTGAGAACTTCCTCCTATTATTCTCAGACTGCAGGAGTCTTAACAATCTATTGCACTATAAACAGTACATGCAAACAGATATTCACATAGACTACAAAAGAATTCATGTTTTGTCTTGAGAAAAATTAAGTCCCAGAGGTAATTCCTGTACTGTGTGGGAAATTATGTCTCCTGGAAGAAATTTATAGCCATGATTGTTTAAAAGAAATGAAAAATATATCATTAAAATGTTTTTAACAAAACCCCTCAATTGTTTCATACTTTCCATCAGACTAACATTGCCAGTTTATATCAGTTATAAATTCTGGGTAAAGATTTGGGTTACTTCTTCTAAATGAGTTTGATCAACTGTGGGTATTATTGTGGTAATGTATAAAATAACTTATTAATGATGCATCTTATTTGAATTAATTGTTAGACCTAAAAATTGAAAGTACTCTGTAGTTTTCTTGTCAGGTTCTAAAATTTTATTTGTAAGTAACTGGTAAGTGTGACTTTATTTATTTGCATCCAAGGTAGCCATGTTTTTCTATCTGTTTAGCTGGTTATGAAGATTAATTTACTAAAGATCATATGTAGGATCCTATTTTCCTCTATGCAGAATTACCTGTATAGGGGAGAGGGAGCTGTGAGTTGAAACTCATGGAAGTTCCTACTCATTCTTCCATTGGAATATATAAGAATGAGGGATTCTGTTCCCTTAACTTGAGATCTGCAAGAAACAAGAAAAATTCATATTGATAGCCCTTGCCCCTCTCACACTTATCCCCACGGGCCTCTTGAAAGGATGGTTTCCCTGACCATGGTGGCCCTTAGAGGACTGGAGAGTTTACACAGCAGGTAGGTCTGGGAGAAGAATCCAGACATGCTGAACTGGCTCTCCTGTTTCTCTTATTCCCACAGCCTCCTACCCAGCTGCACTTGAGTTCTTGTGGAGGGTTCAGGATGATTTTGAACAAGTTACATAATCTCTCCTTGTTTCACATTGCTCTGTCTATAAAACGAATATGAGTAGTCTCCTATTTCATAGCTGCTGTAAAGCCAAACTGATGTTTGCAAAGCACATTGAGATCCTTGGATGTAAAATGCTAGATAAGGGCAGATGATGTATTATTTATGCAGATCAAAGATATGAGCTGTTCAAACGGGGTGAAATTTACCCCCCTCCCATAGGGGGTAAGTGGGATTTAAGTGGTTCATAGGTAGGGCCCTACCAAATTCACTGTCCATTATGGTCAATTTCATGGCCACAGGATTTGAAAATTGTTAAATTTCACATTTTCAGATGTTTAAATCTGAAATTTCACGGGGTGTTAACCGTGGGGGTCCCTACCCAAAAGGGGATTGTGGGGTCGGGAGTCACAAACCTGTTGTAGGGGGGTCATGGGATTGCCTCCCTCACTTCTGTGCTACCTTCAGAGCTGGACTCTGAAGGCAGCAACCACAGATTCCCGGAGGTGGCTGTGGGTCTGATCCCACCCACTCTCCCTCCCCCAGAGCAGTTGTGCAGGGATGGACAAGTCCTGTCCCTCCCCTGCCCAGCCCGAAGTAGGAGCCCCCTTTGCTGGGGTGCTGCTAGAATCACAGGGAAGATCAGACCCACATCCACAAGCCTCCTCCAGCTGCAGGAACCTCTGGGGCTGCTGCCCAGTCCCAGAGAGTCCTGCAGCAAGGGGAGGCACTCGAAGGTGGGTCTCTCCTCCCACCCCTGAGCAGCTGTGCAGGATGAGATGGTCAACTCCTGTCCCTCCCAGCCCAGCCAGAACTAGGAGTCCCCTTTGCTGGGGCATTCCTAGGAACAAGGGGACATCGGATTTCACAGGGAAGGGCTTATTTCACAGTCTGTGATGCCTTTTTCACAGCCATGAAATTGGTAGGGCCCTATTCATAGGCCTTGTGCCTGGGTTCTCTACGTCTGGGTGAATTTCATCCCAGGTGAGATATCTGATTCCATATGGCACTGGAGTAAGATCCCTTAAATAGAAAATAATGCCACATTATTTTCCTACAATTTCTGCCTGCCCCTTTAACCTGATGTCAGGTCAAGGCCAAAGGCTCCTTTGCCTCCAAGTATGACTCCCTCTTCCTTTTATATAAGGCTTTCCCTTCAGGACTGGAACCTCAGAGCTGCTCTAACTTAACTATCAGCTTCCCACAGACCCTTATGGTCCCTGGGAGGCAGGGCAAAGCTGTAATGCCATGGACACCAGCGTCACCTCTGATCTGTGCCATAGTTCAGGAAAGTGGGCATACAGCCTTTATAAAAGCTCTTTACCAACATGGGAGGCCATATGCCCAGGAGATATTCACAAGATACCATTTCCAGAGACCCATTTAAGGCCCCTTTATACTGCCAGAGTGGTGTAATGGGGCCTAGGGTAATGAAGAATCAGGCCCTTTGAGAAGAATAAACTATGAGTGACTGTTGGTGTTGCAATTCAGTAGGGTACCAATGAGTGTTGGGACGTGTATGTAGGGGATGATGATGCAACCAGGTATTTTCCCCATGAAATAACTATCCAGAGACTGTTCCGACCCACTTGTTTAGTCAAACAAATACTTCCAAGATAGTAATCATACATTTTTCAGCAAATCCCTCACTGAAACAATTGCTTGTTTCATATTTTCCAAAAGCTTCCACAAAAGTCAACAGTTTTATGATTTAGTGAAAAACACCCTATCACATTTAACAGCTTGCAAAAGTAAACTTCCTTCCAAATATGATGTGCCCTGATCATCATATAAAGCAATTTAAAGTAACATTACTGCATAAAAACCCTCAAAGTGTTAGGCTATATGTTGCTTTTTTGGCCTGTAAAACATTCATGTTGGTCACTACCGCTGCTCACTGCTGTTGTATACGCATGTCATACATACTCACGTGAATAAGTGCTATTCATTGTCAATAAAATTATTAGAATCTGACCTTTAGTTTGGAAAAAACAACATTTAATCTTTGAATCTTAGTTAGAATCTTTTTAGTTAATCCAGTCTTCTGTATAAATTCATCCAGCTTTTGGGGCTAGATTGCACTTTTGGCTCTTAGTCCTCTACTTCAGAGGGTTACAATTCTTCCCACACTCCCCTCTTGCTTAAAATAACTTACTGCAGTCCTTGAAAAGATGCAGATGACTTTTCTCTTTATGCCCATCCAGCTTTGCAAGTTGGTACGTGGGGGAGAAAGAAACAGAGACAAAGCTTCACCTATTCCCCACCATAATATTCCTCTTTCTCACCCACTTGCTCCCAGTGGATGGGGAGCACAGCTCCACCCCTCTGCACAGGACCAAGGTCCAGGTAGCCCTAATACAGCTGTGAGAAGAATGGGGCAATACTCTCTTAGGTCTATCCATTTTTTTAAGAGCATAAAACTACATAAAATGTCTTTTAGGCACTTAAACTGCTATCTTAACCAACTCACATATCTGTAAATTCTGGCCCAAATGTTTCACAATACTGATAATTACCTCTGTGGAACTAATTCTCTATATCATTCAAAAGATGCCAACAAACCTGGAATTCACTTATACTGATATTCCTAAGAGCAGCAGTGTGAACACCACTGTCATAGCAATGTAGACAAAAATGCATTACACAATAATACAATTCATAGCCAAAAGGTTTCATGTTCTGGCCAAAAATGTAAACACAGAAAAACCAGGAAATTCAATTATAATGTCCCATAGAAAAGATAACTGGGTTCTGTTCCACTTATGTTCTAAGGTATTTTTTATTGTTTGTGTGTTTTGTTAATTCAGACTTTAATATATGCAAACACTGTAGGGCTTCGTCATTGCTGTGGGACCAGTAAGCTTGAATTTCTTGATTTTTGGGCATTGGAATTCTCAGTCATAAACATATGTTGCAATAAGACAAGGCCCAGCAAAGACCTGAAATGAGAGGGACACAAATTATTTATACAAGACACTTAAAATGTGGAAGGGGTTCACTTCTTTAGTGTGAATAATGCTCCAACCTCTGTTCCAGAATACTTTATTTCTGATGTGAATAATTTTCAAAACTACAAGCAAGAGGACACCAAATTTGTGGGACACACAGGTATGATCATAAGGGCTTCTGTAAAAATTTTTTGTATTACATTTCCTCTTTTCCTTAGAGGTTTTTAAAATAGAGAACAAAAAGATCTGAAAAAGTGAGTGATTTGTATATTATGCAATTTTAGATTCAGATAAATACAGCTTGGTATGTCATTAAAAATTGGTGGAAAGTTCATTCTTGAAAATAAGTTTTGGTATAATATGCTCCAGTTAGCCTGAAGATTGTCACCACGAAGCCAAAATTGACTCTCAGCTTCTGTTTCCAGGGCTCTCGGTGTTAGCTCAAAAGCTTGTCTTTCTCACCAATAGAAGCTGGTCCAATCAAAGATACTATCTCATTCACCTTCTCTCTCCAGTTTCCAGGGCTGACAGTCTGGAACTTTTTTAGAAAAACTAAACTCACTTTCATTTAACAAGAATAACAAAAAGTGCCAAATGACTAGTTCTGTATTCTGAGAAGCAAAAAGTCCCCAGAGAACAGAGAGAGAGTGTGAGAACCTAATGGCTTATCCTCATTTTGATGTGTACTGTACACTAGTTTGTCTTCAAACTGAAATGGGAAGACATGCAGATTTATGATGAATTAATCTAAAATAGTTATGCGTACATCTTATCTGATAAGTGTTGTATCATTCACATTCTAGGTGCCAGAACTGCTTTGCTGAGCAGTTCTAGCACCTGAAATGTCAACTAGATAACACTCTTATCAGATAAGATGTACCAACATGCTTTCATAGTTTTGAATAAAAAGAGGAATTCAGGTCTTTAGCATAACTATGTCACCTTCATATTTATAAATTTTACCCCTTCCTGTCTAGCCTTTGAAAACATGGTCATATAATTCTGACAGGATCCAAAATAACATTTTCTTCCTCTTCACATAATTTATGGAAGGCCAATGTTAATGTTTTCAGGTTGCATCACTCTCAATTGACAATTTAAACAAAGCAAGGATGTAAGAATCTACCAAGTCCTAAATTAAGCTAGACATGTCCATGAAATCCTCTCTGCTATGACATACGAGCAATGGAGTTTGTCACATTTTTCCCCCTTCATCACCCACAAAACACCAGGGAAGCTGCATTCTGTATCAGATAGATATGGATTCAACTCAATTTCCTAGATCCATATACAGGGGCAAGGGGATTGTCTCCTCACTGTACCAGACATTAGCCCCAACCCAGGTTCCCTGGTTCCCTTAAGGGATACCTTCCTCCTCAGTCCACTTTCAGCTCTGGTTTATCTGGGAACCAGATCCCGTACGGAACGAGTACTTGCACTGGACACATGCCCCAAGGAGACTCCTGCAGTTAGCTTAGCTGCCTCACACCCAGCCAGGTTTCCAGATACTTAACAATTCCCACCCTAATGTCAGCCAAAAATAATCCACTGCTTGGTCAGACAGGTCTACCCCCTTTGTCCCTGAATGAGGGTGTGAGGCAGCACCCCCTCATGCCTTCTGCTGTAGCATTTCAGACCAGTTTACAGTCACCTGCTGGAAAAGGTCCTGGTTCTGCCCTACATCTCTCTGTGCCCTCATGATTAAATCAACCCTGTTACAAAATCCAACTGTTTTCACCCAGGTGTACAATAATCATTTCAGGTGGCTGGTTCCTGGCTGCCAAAGAGCACAAGAGAGGCATTAGCTGACTTT